AATTGACCAAAAAATGATTGCATTGATTCATGAAATAAATCAATTATTTGGTGACGCTGGAAGCCTTCCTTTACAAAAAAATAGAATTTGATGCTTATTATTTTATTAAGTGGGGTCGGTTAAGTCGACCACAGAATGTGGAACACTGACGCCCAATCGATTTGTCTATTTCAAGGAGTCTAAACTTTTCCAGAGAGAGCCGAATAGACCACCTCACTCTATGCCATATTCGACTATTTCCACAGTACTCTCCTCACCTTTTTCTACCTTTGTGTTTGTCTCTTACATCTTTGAAACACTCTTCTGTTCCCCCCCCCTCTCGACTTTTTTCAATTTGATGTTCCTCCCCCTCTGCGAAGCCTGAAGTCAACTAAAGGGCTAGTGATAACCAACAAGATGCCTGCCATCTGGTATAAATAAATAAATAAAGATTTAACTAACTAAAAAGAGATGAGGGTGAAAAATTGAATATCTACGAGGTCTTCACGCACCTTAAGCTGCTTTTCCCAGCCCTGTTCAACCCCTCTTGTGGTGTCAAACTCAGCGGTTCCCACGACAAGAATGTGTCCCAAAAAGAGGAGGATTTGATGGATATCATCAAACACCGCCTTCGGCGTGGCACTCCCAAGTTGCACCCATTGATCAGCACGGTTTGAGAGCAACAACCTGAGTTCTTCAATGACACCGTTAGCAAAGTCAGCTTCAAATTCATCAGTCAATGCTCCAATTTCGTGGAGGCTCATCTATAAAAAAAATAATACAAAAGATTGAAACATCCTGAACACAGACTTGTAATAAGTAATCAATAGTGTCGAGATAGATTTAGTAAAATCTAGTCAAGTAATGCAATGGATTTAAGTAGGCTTACATAAGAAAAGAACAGCTTTGATTTTGCGTCCAATGAAATTTCTAACAAGTAGTAGCATTCAACTTTAAGCATTACAGGTAAGAAGTAAGGAAGGTTTGAGGAGAGCTCTCAAGCAAATAAAGGAAATATCGCATTAGTTTTTTATGAGCAAAGATGTAAATTGGAGGCCGGAGGAGAAACCAAGCATCCAAAAGGGCTTGCGAGTTCAAGGAATCGGCGGTCAAGCTATTTACAACTTCATTTTTGCATGGAATTCAGGTGTAAATTACAGCTGTGAGACCTCACATTATAATACAAAAGACGGGGTGTGCAAGAGACTTACCTCCACGTGGTGCACCCTGGGCAACGTATACTCATACGGCAAAAAAGTCTATAAACCGGCAGTTGACTTCTGAGTTCAAGCTATCGTGACCTCACTGTATGTCATATTCGACTACTTCCAGAGTACTCACCTCACCTTTCATCCACCTTTGTGTCTGTCTCTTTTACATCTTTAAAGCACTCATCTATTCCCCCACCCCCCCTCTCGACTTTTTTCGCTTTGATGTTCCTCTCCCTCCGTGAAGCCGGAAGTCAACTAAAGAGCTAATGATAACTATCATAAAGCGTGCCATTTGGTATAAATAATAATACAAAAGACAGATTCTAAACAATGGGAAGAGGAAAAGTCGTCATTGGACCATCTATTGTTTGCCCTTGAAGCTAAGAGAGGGACTGGTGGCATAGAGTGCACGGGTGTGACGACGAATTGGTGATAGTGGTGATACATAGTAGTAAAAAATTACTTCAAAGTATTCCGCATCCTGAATAGGCGAATCCGCATCGACTCGACACAAATTGCTATCATTTCGGAAGCCATCCGGTGGCGCAATGCGCGAAGCAATGCACACACGAACAACATCTCTCAGATGGGTTTCAAAGTACTTGCGCGTTTGAATGTATGACTGCTTCAGCTGATAGGCCAAATAGTCTAAAGCAATCGAAAAAAACGCATTGTGAGCAAATTTTGAAGGAAACAACACAAGGAACAGATGATCGAACACAGGGTGTGAGATAGACTTACCTCCATGTGGAGTACCCTGGGCAACGTATATTCATGCGGCAAAAAAGTCTATTAATTCCCTGGGCAACGTATTCTCATACGGCAAAAGTCTATTAACTGGCAGTTGACTTCTCACTTCAAACTGCCATCACCCATCTGACTTCAAACTGCCATGACCCCACTGTATGTCATATTCGACCGCTTCTACAGTACTCGTCTTACCTTTTCTCCACCTTTGTGTCTGTCTCTTTCACATCTTTGAAACATTTTTCTGTTCCTCCCCCCCCCCCTCTTCACCTTTTCTCACCATGATGTTCCTCCTTCCCTCTGTGAAGCCTGAAGTCAGCTAAAGGGCTAATGATCACTACCAAAACGCCTGACATTTGGTATAAATAAATAAATGAATAAATAAAACCCATTGCAAGTGAATAAGTAAAGTAATTACTAATATGTGCATAAAATATCCACTTTCAGTACACGGCTTTCATTTCAACTTCCCAGTAGAACTGAGGAAAAATTCTACATAGTAAAAACGCAAGAAGCACTTAGTCTTAACAAGTCGACCAGGCTATTAGGGTCAATTAATGAACGGGGATATCTCCTTTTACCGTCTTGATTCCAGCGACATGTCAGGCAGATAACAGATGATAGAACAAGCGCCTTTTACCCTCTCCACAAATAAATTGTCATGCTCATAAACACTACCTAAGGTAGATTGTAATTCATTTAAAATTAACTGTAGTATGCACGAATTAGGAGCATACGGGCATTTCCTCGTTCACGGTACAAGAAGGTGCTATAGTTAAATGTGCCAACATCTGGAAGGCTCATTTAGTAAATAGCAAGGGACGAGGCAGCATTCATTCCCTCCGCAAAATCCCCAGCTCGATCTCTTGAAGCGACAGTTCTCTTATCCATAACACCATTCCTCCCATTTTGGAAGATGAGAACCAGTAGGTAAAATGTGTGACAACTTAATACTGTAAACACACCCACACACACACATCATCAACATCAATCTCAAGAGAGGTATAATCAACTTACCCCGTCCTGCCTTTTCTCCGGTAGTGAGAGGGATAGGAATGTCAGTTTCACATTGGTACGTATGCGAGCAATAAGTATCCCTGAGGAGCATCAGAATCCTTTCACTCGCTTCGTGTGCAGACAACAGAGCATTCTGAAATTCATCTTGATTCAAACCAGCCTGCTGTATCACTCCAGCTCCAAGAATTAGACACTGAATCAAAAAGAGAATAGAGATGAAAATTCGAACCTACCGCATAGAGAATGTTTTTTGCAAAATTCAAGAACTCAAATGCCGCATTGAGATAGAAAACGGTAGCCGAGAATTTGGCCAACACCTCAGTATTACTCATTTCATCCGTAGAATCGAAGTACCTTACAATCAATCGCAACAATATTCGCACCTTTTTGAAGAAAGACCCACACATAAGGGCCAGTAAGGGTAGCTCATCGGGTCGTATGATGTTGCCAATGGGCTTGAATTTGTCCTCTACTTCGGCGAATCGAATATGAATTGGTGGGGGGCTGTCCAATGTGAGTTGAAGGGGTTTATACACAGTTGATTCCGAGGTGGATATTAAATTGGCGGAGATGCCCTCAAAGGGGTTTATATTTAACGGAACAAGACCCCGAGCCAATGCGCTCATACAGATAGCCGAATGTTCGACGTTATAAGCCTCATGCTGATCGATAAATACCACTGAAAAAATTGTCGCAATTGAAGTTAAGATGCGCTGACTATAGTCCTCTTTCTCCCGTAAAAGAGCGTAAAACTAGAAGGTTTGCTTGCATTAAGATGGTCCTTAAACACAAACCTTCATTAATACGGAAAGGCAGTTTGAAATACAATCTGTACCAAGCGCTGATTCCCATCTACTATCAATTGCCAGACAATATTCCGAATCAACCCCTCTCCGTCTTACTACAAAAAAGAAAGAGAGATTATAATTAAAAGAGAGAGAGAGAGGGGGATAAAGACCAAAGTAATCAAGTTTAATTAGAAGCCAATTCGCCAAAAAATCCTAAATGCAGAAGAGAGAGAGAATTCTAGCCTAGAGCTATCAATGCTGAATGGAAAGACTAATTAATTTATTGTACTAAATGCGATATGCGTTGAGTAGAAGGAAAGATAGTGGCGAAAAACGGACGGATCCGGCACCAAGTTGGTTATGAAAACTAATCCCCTTAAAAAAGAGGAGAATTCCTAGAGTAAAGGTAAGATCAAGTCGACTTAAATTGCGTCCAGAACTCCAGAGATAACAGCACTCTTCACGAAATAAATCTTCATATTTCACCTTCTCCTCAAACTGGTAGCCATAGTAATTATAAATACAACACCCATTATGTCCAATTTGTACTTGTCACCACTAAACAGAAGTTCCAAGGCAAAATTCGGGTGTCAGATAACGTGAGAAAATCGAAAAGGTAGATAAAAGCCGCAGAATTGTGGGTGTTAAGTCTACCGAATGAACCAAGAATAGAGTTCACTAAGATAGGAAATAAAATCAGCACTGGTTTAACTTTATCCTGGATATCACGAGATCAATAATAGGATTACAACGTCGAAGAAACATGACGTGATCCTGCGCAGTCACCGTAGTTAGTTTTAGACTTATGGAAATCCGTTGACAATGGACATGATTTTGGAGTAAATCAGAATTTATTGAAGTAAAAAAAAATGAGTTAGGTAAAAGGTTGGAGAAAGGGAGACCATAAAGAAAAAGGTAAACAGATCGAGAATTGAGCACCTGTATCGCGAGTCTTATAATCGATATATCACTACATTTTAATGGCAAAAAGGTGAGCATGGTTTTCCTATCAAAACGAGTGAAATGAGTATAGATCAAGAAATAATCGAGGAAACCTTCAAGAGCCTTTTCCGATATATTGGTTTCGGAAATTCCGCAGCATTAATGGGTGATAGAGATGAGGATTCTATAGAAACGGAATTTTGGCACATATCATAGATTAGGAGGGATTAACCTAGGATCACTAATTGAAATTTCAGATTCACCAAGTTTACTTACAGATTTGCATCAATGGAGAGTGAATTTTGCTTAATTGAATCACTACACATCCAATAAATGAACTCGTATGTTAACGGTGATAAAATGGGAGTTAATGAGGATGCAATCACACAACCCAAAAAATAAGAAAATAAGGAAAATTGTCCACAGTCCGGCACTCACCATTCTTTTTGTGAAGATCGATTGATGTAACAAGCTCGAGGCAGTTAACCAAACGAAATGTTAAAGCATCATCGCTTTGAAGTAAGGCTACCCAATCAGATTCAGATAGTAGCCTCCCAATTAACGCAATTAACAATCGAAATAACTCAACCCATTCAAAATTCTAGGGAAAGAAAATTAGGCAATGAAAAATGGAATTTTCGCACCTCACCTCAAATCTATCACGCATAGTGTCGAAGAAAGCGATAGGAAGGTCTAGACAATCGTACACCGAGTTATCATTAGAAAATTCACTGAGAAGTACTGAAAAAAGTGCCAAACCGAACAGAATTCTGGACCGTTCACGCTAGAACATCTAATAAGAGGGATTGAAAAACTCACCTCGAAGGTGGAAAAGGGTACGATTGGGGAAAAGTTAGCAGTGATGTTTAGAATTAACATTTTCAGAAAAGTACACAAATCTCCTTGCCCTCTTTGGGAAATAGAAGCATTTTTAGCAACTTCTTCTAAAGCGGATAGTTTAGCGACGATCCCTACTGGGCTGAGAATTTTCTGTTGAGCCCCAACGCTTATCTGAATTGAGTTAACAAAATGAAGAAATAAAAAAGAACAAGTAAAAATATCGGGAATAAAACGCTGAGAAACTACCTCAAAATTCCTACTAAAAACATAATTGGTTAGAAACTCTACAAGTTTGTAGGGTTTCGTTTGCGCTATATTATCCTCTGTTAATCTTTCGAAACCCTCAGTGCGCAGTTCTGAATTCCATTCACGAATGATAGCTCTGGACAGCCATTCTCCAACAAAGTATATAACAGGAGACTCGCATGAATTTTCTAAAAGAGAGTTATAATTATTTCTGCTTGATCATGAATTTCAAAATCATTATGACTATTGAAAACACACCTAGAATATATCGACAAATGTCATACGGTTGTGGCTGCTTCATAATACTATCAAGTTTATTCCTCTATAAAATCAAAATAATAATAAGACATTTCGTACATCAAAATTTATGGCTGCCTCTTCAAATTCCCTGTACAACGCATCCATCCTGTCAAAAAATGTGAACGTAAATCAAAGTATTGCTACATAAGGCCAATCGATTTCAAGGTTGAAACAGCTAGTTTTCTCATTGGGTATGTTTTAACCTTGTATTAAAAATACAACATAAAACTAAAATCCATTAAAATATAGCACAATATTTTAATATTATTGTATATTTTAGCGTACAGCAACCATTTATAGTAATACTATCGCATTTCGCTGTGGTAGAGGTGGGTTATTTTCCTATCATATTTCGTAATAAAGGATCTTAAAAATTCATTTTTATGTTTATATTGTTTTCAAATCGATTTTATTCGCAAGATATTGGAGATCACATACCACTTACATTTTTAATGCTCATATATGTATATAAAATAATTTAATTTTGGAATTTATTTTTCATTAATTTTGCTTTAACAGCGTCAATAAACAATAAAATATCTACAATGTTAATAAGAATATGGCCTTTGGTACTAAGGTCTAAGAGATCAAATGCCTATCAAACGTTTTGCTTGACTGAGACCAACGCTAATTATTTATTCCTGGGTTTGATTGAATTTGGAAAGCAGATTTAGCAAATAACAAATTAATAAGATCAGGGTATACGCGCGTGGGATTTTTATCAAATCGGAACTTCGAAATCCGTATACATTGGGGCACATTGAGATTGGAAGTTTAGTTTGCACATATTTGGTGACTCTGAAAATTTTACTGCTTTTGAACTTTCCTTTAAGATTAAGGCATAAAAACATTAATTCAGTTGAAAGATAACTATCTGTGATTTTCCAAAACTGCGTCAAAGTACGTTGATTTTCACTTTTATATACCACAGACTAGGCTTGTTATTGATTCTAGTTTTATAATATGTTTGGCTAGCTTATTTTAAAAGTATGGTGTGCGATATGCTTACCTTCACGTGGTACACCATAAGCAATTTATACTCTACGGCAAAAAAGTCTATTAACCGGCAGTTGACTACTCACTTCAAACTGCAACCACCTCACTGTATGTCATATTCGACTACTTTCACAGTGCTAACCTCAACTTTTTTTCTACCTTTGTATCTGTCTGTCTCTTTTACAACTGTGGTTCCCTCTTCTATTCC